ATTAAATTATCAAAAATCCGAAGAAGAAATACAAGTAACTGAAAATGTATCGACAATATTTGAAGAAGAATTAGAAATAAATGATTTTCCACAAAATGTTCGGTCGAAAATTATACGCAAAGACATTCATGTATATATTGAAAATACTAAATATTTTTGTTTCTTTTGTTCAAAATAGAAAACATTAGCACATATATGTGAATGTGCTGATGTTGATATATTTGTACGTGGTCAATATTATTTAAATAATCAAGTTGTACAGAGGGTGTGGGTGGGTGTGGGTGTGGGTGTGGATGTCGGTCGTGTTTTTTATTCATCTGACATCGATTCTCACACCCACACCCACCCACCCACCCACACACCCACTCACACCCACACACCCACACCCACACCCACACCCCACACCCACACCCCACACTCACACCCACACCCCGCATAAAGATAATAGCGAAGGATCTAACCGATCTAAACGTCTCATGAAATGCAAGAAACTAAAGCATTAAAAGAGAAACACTATCTAGTGAGTTTTTGCAAAACCGAAGAATGCGTAGTTTTCGTGCATCAGTCGAAACTAGTAACTTTGAACAGTATTTGTGAACCTTGTCCGTATCAAATAAAACTTCACATCAGTACCTATCATTTGAAAAAAATTAGTTGATTAAGCTTGACAAATAATGCAGATATTCAAATTTACTTTTCGCCCGGACTTTTGGAACGCTCTGTATAGTTGTAACTCTTAGATCAATACAAAAACATAATAATAAAAATACTTCATTGGATAATAACATTACTAACGAGCTTTTCGAACAATTTAAAAGAGCAGATGAACTAGGGTGTGGATATGGGGGTGAGGATCACATTTTCACAATCAACATCGAACTTACGCCCTCACACCCTCACATTAATTTTCATACTCTATTTTGTTAGTTTGAAAAAATAAAAGGGACTATACTGATAACTTTGAAGATCATTGTTTGGACTTATGCCATACAAGCTTCAAGTAGCTCGAAGTAACTTAAAGTCCAAAAGTATGCTTTTTTCCCCTTGAGCATAGTACAATAAACAATCCATTTTTTTCTATCATGAAGATTACACTGAAAGAATAAATAAATCGAAGATGAAAACTAATGAGTACAAATCGATACAGACTAAGTCCTTTCGAGTTGTATAAGTAAGCATCATGAAAAGCAAGCATTTTTTAAAACTTTTATTTCATCTTGGTTTTTTTTTGTTGCCATTCTCAAGCAACTCACAGATACTTGATGCCTTTTCATGTCAAAATTCTTCACAAAGCAAATTGACAAAAATTAATAACACTAATTGACTGATCTGTTTGTAATGTTTACTAATTCACTACTGTAATATCGAAACAAAGACCAAATGAAGTGCTGAAAGTCATTTGGTTTGTAACATCTTATTATTCTATCCAAAAGCGAAAACAAATAGCCTTGAATTTGTATGAAACTTGAGGATGAGAACGTTATTGATAGTTTCATTCTAAAACAATACATGAAAAGATCCACTCTTTTCAAAGTGACCATTTAATTCAACACTTAATTGACTATTTTTTTTTACACATAACACAGTTCCATTTAATACAACATATTGTTGATATGAGCAATCAAAGAAAAACTACAAGCTTTTTCATTTTTTAGTTGAACAACAAAGAAGAATAAATCAACACCAGTAAACCACGATAAATCTTTTATCGAGCTGTTACGGAAAAGCAAAGAATACTGTGTAGTTATTTATTGATGCTATTTCAGTTAGAAATTTTTATAAAATACCTATTTGTCAATAAAAAATTATCTATTCAAATAAAGAAATAAATAAAATTATAAGATCACTCAGTGTTTTTTCGGTTTTATTTTCTTTTTTTTCATCAAGTGTCAATAATGACAATGAAATGAAAACTAGAACAGACAGTTGACGGGAACATTCTTTCGGCAGAACATAACAATGAATGATCTTATATACGACAGTTAACAATAAATAAATTCGTCTAATATTAAGCATCAGCACTTTGTATCGTTTTAAGAAAAGCTGTCTTTCGTTGTTGCACACGATTCTTGCGTGATGATCTAGCAAGTTTAACATTATTCTATCTAAAATATCAATAATTGTGCATATATGCTAATAAAAATTTAAAGAAAATAATTTACCGTTTTGGTTTAGCTGCATTAGCTTTTTTCTCTTTCTTTGGTGATGGTGATGGATCAGCACGAATAGCAGCATGTGCAGCTTTATATAAAGCTTCAAACTAAACAAACAACGTTGATACTTTTTTTTCTTGCTTTAAAAAAAAAATATATATATACCGAGCTTGACTCAATACCAGCTTTAACAAAACGTGAAAATTGTTTGGCATAAAGATCTGAATTTTCTTCTTTGAGTGTTGTCATATAATTAGCAACATGTAAACCAAATATGTGTTGACGATGAACATCAGGATTAAATTTTTTTCCTTCTCGACTGTATCCTTGGAAACGTCAAGTAGTAAAAAAATAAGAAGATAATAGTTGTTTGTTTTTGATCAGATAATAAAGTGCATCAGAAATAAATTATCGTCAAATCAAAGTCAGAAGAGATGACAGAAAAAAATTGAATATTCATCAAATGCACTTAAAATAAGTATAAAAAAATAAAGTGTAAAATCAGCAAGGGGCAAAAAATCTCTATTTCAAGTTGAACTCTTCATAATATCATCAATTTTTGCATCTTCTATATATCAATGAATATTCTTACAAAAATAATTATATATTCTGATAGCAAGCAGAATTATTTACAATTGTATTTTTATTTTAGCGAACAAGTGCAATTCGAAACCTACATATATACGGTTGTAGGGAATTCCGCGTGCTATCAGAATATATAATTAATTTATAGCTATGATATATTAAGTTTAACTATTTTCTTTTGTACCTATGAGGAATATCTAATCCACCATCAATGGCACCTTTTAACGCACCAAAACTTTAGCACTAGTTGTTGTACGTGCTAGATCAACAGCAAGATAATAACGAAATAGACGTTTTTCACCATTGACTGGTTCATTTTCAAATTCACTACCGGTTACATCAGTTGTACCTATATATATATGTAACGACAAACTGGATTGAATAGCTTTTCGCCATTCTCGGCAATGATGTTTATTCAGCTATTTCACATATCCAGAGTGTAACAACTTCATAGATAACACACGTATATATAGGAGAGAGAAAGGAGAGAGAGATATTAGA